AGCAGTGAGCTTATGGGAGAACCCCTGAGACTGCACTGCCCTTAGTCAAGAAAAGTGTCAGGGAGGACAGGTGCTGGAGCAACAGCAGTTTTTAAATTAGGTTGAGACAGAATGTTTCTGTAAGTAAAGTGCCCTGGGTCAAACCAGTGTGAAGCCAGGGAAGCCCAAGGGCCTGCAAACCAGAGTGGCAGAAGTTTCTTGCAACCCTGTATCTCTGAAAGCTGCCTCTGCTCTGGTTCAAGATGAGTAACGGCAGCTTCAGGGAGCGGGTTTGAGGGTGTTGCCCTATGATCGGAGGCAGGATCGGTCGGCAGGGAAGGGGTGGCCTCCTTCCTTACAGTCCTGAGGCGCTTCACTCTCCTGTGTGAAGTGGGTGTAAATGGCTTGATGTCCAGGGGCTGAAAGAGTTCAGGCACCATGTTATAAAGGCGAGGGGATGTAAGGTTCATGCGTTGGGAGATGGCTGTGCTGGATTTCTGCTAGGCGAGCTGTTCCACTGGCTGGAGGTTAGGGATGAGAGGCAAGGGGAAAGCTAGACATGTTTAATTGCCTGTAACTAATCAGGCATATACACTCATCCTTCCCCTCCTTGTTCTTCTGAAAAACCACCCTCTCAGACTCACTCCTGATTCCTGCGGAGCCAGCGATGAGGCAGCTTATATGGACACAGACACTGTGAAGCGCAGAGCATCGCCGGCCTTGTGCTCAGTCCCTGCTGTCAGGCTGGAGCGCTAGGACAGGCACCATCAGCATGGTCATCATTACCGTGCCCTTTCAGCAAAAGGGGCTATTAAAAAATGAATAGCAGCTGTGACAAACCCGAGGAATTGTTAGAAGAAGAACTTAGATCTATATATCATAAAATCACGTAGTATTGCTGGGGCATAGTTCTTTACTGAGACCCCGAGGTGGGAAAAGGATGTAGGACGAAGGAATGTTTTTTCATAGCAGGAGCTTAAAATGATGTGCAGTGAATTCCTTCATACTTAATATTGGTTTTGAACATCTTGGTACCTGGATTTTCAGTGGAAATAATTAACTACGATAAACTACGAATTTTAAATCAAGTTGGACAGAGGTAATTTTGGATAAAATGAGAGCTGTTCTTCACAGGGAAAATGTTGAAGGCAAAGTTCCTAGTCCTTGTAGTGGCAGTGAGCAAAAGGATTTTGAAAGTTCTGGGGGGAAGCTCGTGGCACCCATTCGCACATACTTAGCTGCTCCTTTTAAAAAGTCGCAGTTTCTCAGTTGAAGGGGTGCCTCCTCAGCAGGCAAACCTTCCTCAGGAACCCAAGACAACTGCTGCTGCTCAGGAGCTCATAGTGGGAGAGGGAAATTGCCTGGAATGAAGCAATGGGTAAATCTCTGTGCATCCTCTCTAGTCTTTGAGCTGGCTGCTCTTCTGAGTCACTGTGCTGGGGAGGTTGAGCCCCTGGGCTTAAAGCAGTGATCACGATCCCCTGGTTTAGGGTGAGACCCTGGCTTAGAGTGAGACACAAAAAGCAAACATAACAGCGCTGCCCTAGGGAGTCCAGTTGGTTGGCAGCATTAGCAGTTAGGTGGCTATATTAGCATTTTAATCAAATAACTAGATATCCTAGAATTATATGTTTGAATCTCTGTAGGCTAAACATAGCTTCAGAGGCAAATAATTTCCATGTAATTTTAGGGTGGAGAATGTCCTTTGGGTAACAGCTGCCTGCTCTGCATGGGCATTAAAAATCCTGTGGCACTTTATTGAAAGCAGAGGTTTGTCTCGGAGGCCTTGCTTAAAACATCCCTCAGCATGCTGGCTGTCTGCCCGGCTGCAGTCCTGACACCCAGGAGGGCATGCAGTTCAGGGGGAGATACTGCAGCTCCTGTTCACTATATTGTTTGTAGAGTGTCATGGGAGCCTTGATATAAACGTGGACAACTTGTCCAGGTCACAGCAAGGATGACCTTGCTGGCATTGGTCTAAGCATATTTGCTCATGTGGTACAGTGGGTGCCTAAGCCCTGGGAAGAGTAAGATCTTTGAGGACAGGAAAACAGGTTGTCCAGTCACAGGCTGGCCCAAATCCTGCCTCGTCAGCAATATCTGATGGCTGGCTGTATTGACCTGGGGCAGTCCACCGGTTCCTGCGGTGGACATGCATCTACAGGCCCAGGTTCAGTATGAAAAGTTCTCAGGAGGGCATCCAGGCTGTGCTAAACCTGACTTTACATATTTGTTTCATAATGTCAGAGATTTTAAAAGTTCTAATGATAAACCATCTGGAATAGGTTTCTTTTCAAAAGAAAAGAATGAAATAGATGTGAGCTGGCAGGAGCTTTCAGAGAGATTTCCCCGACCCCCCCTCTGTTTCTATATTATACAGAGAACTCTACAGGAAAATGGGATACATGGAGCTGAGCATTTCATGAGAAGTTGTCACATTCTGTGCATTAATTTCTGTAAAGTGTTAGGGACTAGTGGTGGGAGGAGATATTAGGTCACTCATTGCTAATCCTGGAAAGTTTAGGGGACTTTGCATGTCCTTTGAGAGTGTCCCTTTGATGGAACAAACATCACCTCTCCAGAATTATTCCTTCATGGTGCACATAATCCACCCATTTATTTGATAAAGGTACCCATAAAAAACCAGAAATGACCCAACAGCACTCCCAGTACTAATATCAGTCCTATCCTGCTGTTCATCTTTATATCTTCCAGCTTTCTACTGCATGAAGTAATGAAGAACTAAAAGTAACACTCAGTCCTTTTTCTTCTTAAAAGCACATTACAAATACTAACCTTAATTCCTCTTCTGCCTGTTTTCAGAAGGTTAAGTATCAGTTTTTCAGAGGATTTAAGTGCCCATGGTGCATTTGAAGGTCTTTGAGTGACAGATGTTAAGAACCTCTGAACATCTGAGCCCTGTTAAACGCTCCCCACGTGCATGTGAGGGACGTATCAGAACCAGCATCAGAATTCGGATGGTCCCCGCTCCTAACTGTGGTCTAATCACGCCTCTTTCAGGTGCTGTTTGCAGATGATGGCAGAAGGGCATTGTATTTCTGATGACTCAGCATTTGCAGGGGAGGCTTGCTTTAGGACATAGCTCTTCTGCATTTATGAGCTCCCATATTACTCCAGCATTACTCCTGAGCGGTGCATGGCATCATCGTCTTTGCTCCCTAGGAGGAAGGTAATACTGGATCAAACACTGCTGTAGGGGCTTAGTGGGAAAAAATTGATCTTTTTTCTCTTAGCAGTGTTAGGACACAATTTCAGCCTCTAATTTCTCACAGCACTTTCCCTCCCCCTGCTATTTCATGTAAACTTCTCATGAAAGCAATAGTCTCTCTGAAGGTGTGTTTGGTGTGTTATTGCTTAAGCCCAAAGGGAGAGCACATCCCTCACATAAATTGTGGTTGATGGTGAATCTGGACAGTGCTTGTACCATTGCACAGACCCTGGCTAGATGCAGGTGTGAATTGCTAAGGTCCCCAAAGCTGCAGTTTGCCCAGACATTTTCAGTGGTACCCTCAGAAGGCAGTAAGTACTGATAAAACTTGGAGCACTGCTCTGCAGAGCCCAGGACATATTTTCCTCCAACTCTATAAAACCACTGTCAGGTAGAACCCCCCTGAGTAAACCTCACTGTTGTAAATGCCCTCTCCACAGCTGGCCCAACCCATGGAAAAGTCCCTGGTGCAGGGGACTGCCAGGAGCATGTACAACATTGCGCACCCAGGCTCATCACAGACAGTGTGAACAAGGCAGAACTGCACTAATCACCCCAGAACCGAAGCCAAATCCCCTTGGTCAGCTAGTTTGTTCCCACTGCACAGATCAAAATACAAGCCTCAATCATAACATTAAATCTATCCCCCTCCCTGCCGTGCTGTATTGTCTAGGTGAGGAGGAAAGGGGAAACTTTGTTTTCATTCCCTTCAAATTAATTAGAAATTCGTGTGGGGGGAGGACTCATCCTGACAGTAACAGGGGTTATGATGTTTCATAACTGCATCTAACCAAGGATGTGTTGCACAGAATTCAGAGTCAACAAGAGGCTCTGGTATCAGGGTCAAGTCAGTACATCCTCTGTAACCAAAGTAACTCAGCTCAGCACGCTACCTGTGTAGGAGAGAGGACTGGGTGGCCCTTCAGACTTCAGCTCTCCGAGAAGGCTGGTAAGGTATTGCTTACCGGCATACACAGCAGTCCTTTCCAAATTTGAATCTCAGTGCTACATTTTCTCTTTGCATATGCCTTATCATGAATGCAAGTGGTTAAGCTTTCCTCCTCCTTTTTAAAGATCACGTTTAATTTTTCTTTTTTTGCTCTAGTGATTTAGACAAAATATTTAAGCTCACTGCTGTAAATCCCCTTGGGGCACCTACCAGAAGGTTGTGAAACCTGGGTGAGGGATGGTGGAAGGGCATACACTGTTAATTAGTGGAGGCTGGCAAGCCCCTAACACTTCGGCTTACGCTCTTGTCAACGGCTCCGAGGTCTGGCTTTGCGGGAGCCGATTCATGCAGGCGTTTGGAAATAACCGGACTCTGGCAGCAACTCCTACTCTGACAGAAGAGAGCCAGCAACCAGCTTAATAGGTTGCTGCAGCCAGCGAAGTCCTCCGGTGAGGAGCAGTGAAGTGAAGAAGAACAAAGCCCATTCCAACCGCTGCCACAGCAGACAACAGTTGAGAGCAAAGAATCATTTTATTGCATATGGAGGGGGGGAATGAGGGAAAGAAAAAAGAATGAGATGGCATTTTTTACAGCTAAGGGTTTAATGATTTCTTTCCTTTCTCCCCTTCCCATTAAAGGGGACAAAAATACACGGAAGGAGAATTCCACAGATTTTCATTCTTTTTGTAAGAAAAGACAGCGCAGCTGAAGCTTCTTCCTTGAATTTAAGTTTTCAGAAGGAAAGTTGGTTTCCCTTTCTCTGGCTCCTCATAGTGGCATTTTTCTGGCTCTAGCAACCTAATAGGTTGATTGCTGAGCCTCTTCTGTTTCAATTACTTTCGATTGATTCTCAGGTCTGTGTCAGCCACTTGGTGCAGCCACCATCTCAGGAACAAATCTGCAGCAGCTGAAGATGAAAATAGCTTCCATGACCACTTAGGAGGGGAGTTCAAGCATCTTTTCTAAACATGAGGTTGCTGTAGCCTTCCCTCAAAATTGTGTCTCCGGCCAGGGCTGCTCATGATGAGGTTCCTGTTCCTGATGGCTCTCTGAGCTGCGCTTAGCCTCAGCCACAGCTAGGAAGGAGGGTGAAAGGAACTTTAATATCATTAGGCTGCTCAACTTGCAATTGCTGGAGGGCACTGCCGTTACGGCCCAGGAGAGGGACTGCGGCCTTGTAGAAGTCCCTCTAGGTTTAGGGAGTGGAGTGGGACAGGGAGAGGTGGGACACAGAGCCTGTAAGATGAGTCTTGGGGGTTTGCTTTCTTGTTTGGTTTTTTACTGAAGGAGCAATGGGGGAGGGAAGGGAGAGAAAGGGAGTTGGGAAAAGGAGCGGAGGTGATGGCGACTGGTTCCTCACAGAAGCAGCCAGCCTCTGCAGTTGCTTTGTACGCATCTGACTCTTTTCTTAGCAGTAGTAGCCTCAAGCCTTTAGACTGGCAAAGGAGTAGTGAGGAAAGATCTGTACTGCTGCCCTGGCTGAGAGGTAGTCTGGCTTCCTGCATAAGTCAGAGCAGACTGAGAATGAAAGCAGTCTGGAGAATTGGGGCTATTTGTGTCAACAGTAGGATTATATTTCTGTATTTTTAATTTCCTACTGTTGCTGTCCAATTCAACTCAGCATGGGATCACAGCATAATTCAGGCTGGATGGGACCCTGGGAGGCTCAGAGCTGGGTCAGCCCCAGGCCAGACCAGGCTGCTCAGAGCTGTGTCTGGTCGGGGCTTGAAATCTCCCAGGATGGAGCCTGTGCAGCCTCCTGGGCTGGCTGCTCCCCTGCTAGACTGTCCTCATGCGGAAATTTTTTTCCTTGCATCTAGCCTGAATCTGTCTTGTTTCAATTTATGCCCGTTGTCTCTTGTTTTCCTGCCACACACACCAGTGAAGTTCCCAGTTCCCTTTTCTTGATGACCTTCCTACAGGTATGGGCAGGCCTCACATTTGCCTTTCTTTAGTTGTCAGGGAAATCCCTGGACCTCCACAGTCTTTCGAAGATGTTAGAGAGTGTCCTTGCAAGGACATAGGCCAGCTCTCTTGGCACTCTTGGATGCAACTGTTGGGTCTGATGGACTTGAAGAGATCAGGATCTCTCAGGCAATCCCAGAGTCAATGCCTATCTGCTTGCTGGTAGTATTCCTCTGAGCCCAGAGGCCTGGGAGACCTTGCGGATGAAGACTGAGGTAGAGAAGGCATTGACTACCTGTGCCCTGTGTCACCAAATCACTTTCCCTGTTCAGTAATGGGCCTACATTTTCTCTTTTTAGCCTTTATTGCTAATCTAGTGGTAGAAGCTCTTCTTGTCATCCTTGATGTTCCCTCCAAGTGACAACTCTAGGTGAGCTTTGGATCAAAGGTAGCTATGGGGGACCGTCCAAAAGGCAACCAGCTCACCACATTCAAAGAGCTGGGCTTCCAGTCCCGGCCTGAGGTGGGCTGATGCAATAGGGTGCTGCTTCAAATGACCCCTGGGGAGAACTTGTGCTGTTGTCTAAAGCAGCAAGTGTGCAGTGGTGAAAGATTTCATGCAGGGGAAATGTGGTGCACCCAATGTTGAACTCAGAGCAGCTCTGCCAGGGACCTGCTTGTCTCCCTGTGGGTCGTCCTCAGCAGCCAGGTGGGAGGAGAGGCATGTTTGTGTGCCTCCTGACTGGTGGGGTGGACGGCTTTGTCTGGGAGGCACAGGTTCTCTTACAGTTAATGTGTCTTCTAGAAATACCCACTCATGTCTGCTGGGAGGAGCTGGCGCAGGGTAGCAGAATGGCATTTGGGGGGTGGGCTGATCGGGGCCGCCTTCCTCCCACCCTGAAAAAAGGGAGCGGTGGTGTCAATAAAGTGATCCAGCCCCACACTCCTGCCCATGCCCCATGAGCACCGTGCTCCTGGGGACGCAGGGGTCCCACTGCAAGCGAACAGCCAGAGACAAGGCACTCGCTCCACTCCTATCCCTCCAGTACCCGGGGGTGGTGGGGAGGGAAACAGACTGCAAGGGCAGGTTAATATGAATGGACATGCTGTGAAAAATGGATACTAAATTATTCCCTGATCCAATAAACCTCTCAACCCACACTCTCAGAAAAGCCTCGGTGAGTAGACAGGCCTCACGAGTTGCTCAGCAGCTCAATAAAATCTGTCTCTGCCCTGTCAGATCGAAAAGGGAAACAAATGGCAGAATTTGGAGCCCTCCCCCGAGGAGGCCTTGCTCCTGCGTGAATGGCTCTGCCTGCGATGCCAGCTCCCTGCCTGCAGCCTGAGGGGATTGCACCACAGGCAGCTGCCTGCAGCAGGACCCTGAACTTGTGAGAGTTTCCTTCCTCCCTCCTTGGCTTCCAGGTGTTTTCATGGAGAGGGTTTTCACCCACACATGCATGACTGCTTTGAGGTGCAGGAGCCCTCAGAGTGTTTGCAGCCAGCCCCAGCAGAGGGGCTGTGGTAGGGGCAAGCGGATGGAGGGTCAGTCTCCTGCACCACGCCAGCCCTGCCATGCACCCCAGGTTGCTCAGTTGTTTGGAGGTGGCTGCCTGGGTAGGAGCACCCTTACAAGGCTGCGTTTGCCCTTGCAGGGGGCTACGGTCAATGCCCTGCCTAGAGGAAGGGCTTGATCCCATTATGCCAACACTAGTTTCTTCTGCTGTCTCTCATGGGGGTTTTTGCACCTCTGCACATAGGTGTAGGATGATTCATGAGCATGCGTTCGTGTTGTATCTGCGCTCAGGTTGTGCTAATCCTGTTTAGTCATTTTTCAGTGGATTTCATTTAGATACCGGGCTGGGGCTCTGCATGCCCTTGACAATACTGAGCAACACCATTGCTCATATTTAAACTCACTGACATAGCTAGTGATGGTGAAATTAAAGGAGACAGTGACATAAAGCTCTCACCCAGCAGCAGTTTGCCTCCTGCCAGTCACTGCTCTTGTATTTTCCCTCCCTTGTCAGAACCCAAGGAAAAGGGGCAGATTTTGTGGCTTACCTGGAAGACCAGCAGGTCTGAGCTCTTCTGGACCAACCTGTGTGCCCAGGCTGCTCCAGCTAAGCCCGCGGAGCGCAGAGGAGGATCAGGCACCACCTGCCGTGCAAACCGTCTGCGAAGCCACAGCAAACCCCTCGCAGAATGTAAAGCAGGTGACTTATGCCAGCAAAGACTTTCGGCCTCACTGCTGCGAGCAGCTCGCTCGTGCTCACCCAGCCGGTAGCAAAGCTAGAAATAGCCTGGGCTGCTGGGGCCCAGCACCCGGCTCTCGCCTCCGGTCCGTGGCTGCTCTCCAGCTCTGACTGTACATGCCAGTTTGCTGTCATGGCCTCTCTTGCTGCCTGGTGGAAGGAGAGGTCTGCTCCCCGAAATGGCAGCTGAAGACACAGATGTCACACGGTTTATTCCGTGGCTTTTGATACTAAGCAAATAAGTCACAACTGGTTTACCGCACTATATATTTTTTTTTTTTTACTGTTAGCAGAGCTGAAAATATGGCTTCTTTTAACACTGCGGCAATGGGAAGAAAAGGTTTGTCCTGCAGTTCTGGTTTAAAAATAAAATAAAAACAACTACAGAGAAACAGCTTGCGCCCCTTGTGAGTAGATGTAGGCTTTAATTTCATCTCAGGTTTCTACCATCATAACACTTGACAGCAAGTGCTGTAGTCACGAGGATCCAGATTTGGAAGGGCATTAACAGTATCTAATTTTCATTGGTTTTAGTGAGCGGCAGGTGCCTAAAACCCTTTACTACCTGGTCTAGGATTTCTGTGACTATACCCTCAGAAACCGCTTCTTTCTATTAGATACATAGTTTCCTTTACTGTTTTCAAAGATGACTATAGAAACAGGGTTTTGTGAAACTTAGCAAGTAATTGTAACTGGCCATAACATCTAAGTAATTATTAGCTATCCACAGAACAAATGAAAGATTAAAAGGCAGTAATCTTCTTTCCTCTTTGTTGCTCGCTATTAATGGCTTCCTAGTCTACATGGTTATCAAGGCAGTGTTCTGTTGCAGAAAATCTGTAGTGTTAAAATTTGAATTTGCTGAGAGCAGAGAATAGGTTCACTTGAACAGAGAAGGCAAAATGATAAGGAGGTTTGGTTCACAGGGACTTCATCCCAGTCTAAATCCAAACAATGCTTTTCACATACTGGTGGTCATTGGTGGCACTTGAAACTGGGAGCAGACAAAAGCCTTTGTAGGAGCCAGGGGCAGTGCTCGGCAGCCCGCTCTCCACGGACCTGTAAGGGTCTGTGGAAAGCAGCAAGGAAAACTAGTTTCAGCATTGTCATAAATTCTGTCCTGTGTGGACAGCCCCATGGCTACTGAATTTCTAAAGGGGGGCACTTCTACCTTAGAAAATATGCAGGGTCTACAAATTAGAAAAGGTTAAAAACCAGGGCACTAGGACAGAAGAAAGAAAGTACTTAGCATCCGGCAGACAGGGGAAATACTGAATGCGGGATGAGGAGCCATGGCTAGGCTAGTCATTGCCATATAACGAGGAGGGAAAAAATCAGTCTTTCCAGCTCCATGCCTCATAAAATCCAACTGAAATCAATCCAGGATTTTGCCAGTCATGAGTTATTCAGCAATCCCAAGGTCAGGCCATCACACATCATCATCTGTTCTTTTTATCCCCGTACTGCAGACAGGAAATCAAGAGACAGAGCTTGATCACTGCAATATAGGCAAACATTCGGGCCCAGACTGCAAAGTAATTAAGTGTGCATTAAGGCCCACTCCCGTTTAGCAAAGCCCTTATGTACATGCTTTAAGTGCCACTGCAGCTAGAGACGCACAAAGAAACACTTAAATTCCTTCCTGGATCACTGCTAACTACAGTATAAATATTTAGGAATATATTTAAAGACTCTCTAGGCTGAACATAGCTCTTAGTGCATAGACAGGGACTGGAAGAATTGGGATCTTGCAAGTTGCCATTGCAAGTTGAGGTGCATGGTAGGTGCTGGAGGCAGACAGCCAGCATGGAAAGGGGGCTTTCTGTGGCAGCAGGAGAGCAAATGTGAGTGAAGAGAGGGTAGCCAGGGGCTGCAGAATTATAAGTGCATTTTATGTGCATTTAAGGTTGAATGTTTGTACTGAGGTCGTTGCATCTATGTTGGGGGTGATCCTGGGAAACAGAAAAAGCAGAAGCCAAAACAATTCCTTCTTTTCTCCCATGATGTATTCTTTTCTTTTCTAATACAGCCTCCCAGTTTCCATAGAGGGGAAGAAGGGCAAGGACCTGATGAGGGTTTTGAACTCTTGGGGTGAGTAAATCAATGGCAGTGTGGTTTCAGGGGTATATCACCCCTTGTATTTAAAAGCACACATGCACATTCATCCAATTGATATTCCTGGTATGAATGGCAAATGATTGCTTGAACTGCTAGACAGGGAGGAGGGCCAGGTCCCTGCCCTGAAGAGTTTACAGATGAAATGTAAAGAAGAGGATGGTGCTGCAGGGGGAGAGGGAACACAACATGAGCTGAGGCACAGTTGTTATTCCTGGCACACTCTGAAGCCTCCTTCCCAGTCTGTTGCCTGCCTTTGATGTGGATCATTACTCCTTTATCAAAAAGCTTTCTTCCCAGGGTGCTCCAGAGCCTTTCGCGCTCCTGGTTTTCATCCTACCTCTCTAGGTGTTCCTGCATTGTCTTCTTTCAGCACTTTTCTCCTCGCTACTATCAGCCTTCCTTAGGACATTGCCCAAGTCCCTCTCCTTGTTCCTCACTTTGTCCCTAGGTAGCTTTATCGTGCTGCACACTTGAGTGATCGTTTCTGTGCTGACAACGTGGAGACCTATTTCCTCAGCAGTACTCAGTCAGTCCATTCTCTGGCAGCTCCTGCAGCACCTTCTCCTTCATGTCCCACCACCATCCCCCTCACCAAGAATTTAATGTCTCTTCCCAGGTTGGCCCTCAGTCCTCTCCCTTCTTGCATGCCGCCGTGCGAGTTGCAACAACCCTCCTACGTGACCCAAAGGCTGACTGACTCACTGAAACATGTCTTCTCTGTCCCCTTCATCCCACAGCGACACAGGCAGGCTTAGGAGCGGCCACCATGCTCAAGGTCAGTGGGCTTTGTGCTCCTACGCCACTTGGGGAAATCCGCCCCCTTGGAGAGCCTGCCTTTCTTCCTGCTAGCTTGTCCTGGCTAGTTTGTCTGCCCAGCGGAAAACTCACAAACCCTGCTTTTCAGCTAAATTTCATGCCCTTCTGAAAGAAAGGCCTCTATTTAATCATTCCAGCAGTGTCTAAAAACCCTAATTCCTTCAACATAGTGACAAACAGTTCTGATTATTTGTAGAAAAGCTTGAAAAGCATTGAGCGTATTTTATTACCCATGAAAAGTGCCAGACTGGCAGCCATGGAGACTTGTCCTCTATTTATCTCTAGAACTGGACGGCACAAGCAGTACACATTTTTCCAGAATGTCTCTCCGCTCACATTTTGAAAGGCACATGGTGGCCTATCACCATGAGACGATGGTACTTTCTGTTCAATCCACTGAGTATTTGCTCAGTGCCTGGGACACGAGTGAAGTATGTCAGGTTGCTAGTGGGAGCAGCTGGGGAAGCCCCAGAGGGACTCACCACGAAAACAACTGCCCTCCCAGAAGGCTGTGGGTGATTTGGTGTGTGAAGCTGCGTCTGCTCCTGTCTTTTCTGGCAAGCCAGGTCTCATCCAAAGTCAGTTACGATCTGTGGAAGTGCTGCTTAATGGGCTATGAATTGTCATCTGGGGATGTATGGAGGGAGCAGACCCCATGCTTCCTCATTAAAGCGATAAATGCAGTAGATTTGCTGGGAAAAAACCTGAGGCTTCTCTTTTGCCACCAAAAGAATTAGATTAATTTTGAGCACCCTTCATTGCAAACCTTAGCTGTTACTGTTGTAAACCCACAGAAAGGCAAGATCTCACAGATACTATCTGCGCGTGAAGCAGCAGAGGTTATGGGCAGCCCCTACCAGCCCCTGTCAGCAGTGCTCTCTCAGAGGCCAAGTGCTGCAGCAGGACCTGGAGCCTTCCTGCAGAGGCACGCTCCTGGCCACGCAGGAGTTCAGCGCTCATCCCTGCTTTGCAGCAAGCGTCAGGGAAATTATTCAGCAGAGAGGTAAATAGCTTGCAGGATCTCTACTGCTTTTCTTCTTCACGTTCCCCCTCCTCCTGCCCCACTTTGCAGCAACACACACCAAACACAGATGTGCAGTGACATTTTTAAATCATGCACTGATTTGTTAGGGTTATGCAAAGAGAATATTAAGCACTCTTTGCTACTGTTCAGGCTGGGCCTTGTGTTTTCTTTATGTGCACTGATGTTAAAAATACAAAGAAGCAAAACTTTCAAGCACTGCCAGTTTGGATAGAGTTGTTTTTTCTTCCTAAAATGAAGCGTAGCCTGGACGGAGGACTTTTTTCTTTGTCAATAATTAAACAACTCTGCACTTGTTGAGGCAGTCCTGAATGTAGGTACCAGGATGAGCCAGCCTTGACCACAAGAGGCTAAAACTTTCTACCCCATCTACAGTATGGATTTTTTTTTCCAAGAAAAAAAGTCCTTTTAGTGTTAACCCTGTCGACTCCAGTGGTAACAGCAGACCTTTACTGCAGATGGGATGCCAAGTAGCCATGTGCGTTGAAAGAGTTGTTTGGGTTTGGCCTGCTTTGAGCAGAGTTTCATGTGAGGGTGCTTCCTAGAACTGAGCTGGGTACAGCTGGTTTCTGCTTGGCCTTTTAGCATTGAGGTAGAATTCAACTGCTGCTGGCGATGCTGGGACTGGATTGCAAAACACCTTTAGTGCAAACAAAGGGGAGGGATTTCTGTCAAGGGTTCAGATTTATATTTCCCTCAGAGTGCATTTTTGAAGCACAGTAATGATCCAACAGTATCGCACATTTTGGAAGTTCATCATATCCTTGAGGGCGTCGCTGTGAACTCCAGTTGAAGATGGGCACGTGAGAGTGTTGGTACAGAAACGAGAGAATATTTGGCCTCTGGCAAAGGCCCCTGCTTTAAAAAATAAAAAATAAATGTGAGTTCTTTATCTCTGGTACAGGGCAGTCAGGGCAGAGTCTCAGTAGAAGGAACCCTCTGCTGTCCTCTGCA